GGGGGAGGAAAATGAGCTGATTCCGGGAACCCAAGAGGCAAGCGAATTTTGGGAATGATGAGGGCAACAAATGTATAGATGTGCTCTACACAATTGATCTATGTATTGTGATGAATTTTATGAGCCCCAACAAATTGATTAAAAAAAAAAAAGATCATTGTATTGAGGATTCTTACAACTCTTATAACAATCCATACATCAATTGTATTTAAGCATATTTGTACATGTTGCCATCACTTTTCTAGACATTTCATTTCCTTCATTCTTGTACTTACTGTCACTACCTTCCGTTTCCCCCAACCCACCATATCTAACCCCAGTTACTTGCTCTATAGATTTACTTATCTTGAATTTCATAACAGTAAAACGTTTTAAAAAAAGAATAACAAAGTAAAACAAAAATCTCATCAAAAAGAAAAAATATTAAAAACTAGCACAAACACAGAATATGAGTAACTGTTATCAATAAGTTAAAATACCTACCCATTTATAGGAAAGTCACAAGTGATGTGTATCTCACTAGTCACAATCAATAGAAGATACAGCTTTATATAAATTTAACTGAACAGTCAAAATTCCTTAACAATCAGGTAAAACATGTACTTAACCTTTTTGTAAAAACAAGGTTCTGAGCACCATTCAAGGAGCTCTAATGGCATGTTTGGATAAGTATTGGGCGTAGTCACTGCAGTCAGTAGTTTGAACCACCAGCAATACTGTGGAGAAAGTTGAGGCTTTCTGCTCCTGTAAAGATTTATAATCTTGGAAATCCTAGGGAGCAATTTTACTCTGCCCTCTAGGTCATGCTGAGTGGGAATTGACACACTGGCAATGACTTTGATCTTTCTTGAAAGCACCATCTGAGATACTGAGCAATCAGTCCCTGGATAGACAGGAAAACAGGAGTTCTCCAAGCTCTCGACAGAGCAATATTTAAAAGATCTCTTAGGTTTCTTATTTTCTACCCAAAAGACAGGATTAAAAAAATCAATAACAAAACTTCTCTTCCTCACAATTATCATGTCTGAATCACACAGGTTCTGCCTACTTCGGATCAGCTATGCTGGTTTACTGTTGTCACTTTGCTCTCCACTTACACAGACTCAGCTTCCAGGTGATGGCCGAAGGGAGTACAACAGTATTCTCTCCCCTTGTGCTTTTTTCATACTTTTTTCCCTTGAAATTGCTACATTTTATCAGAAAGTATTTTTTTCAAGATTGTCATTTAAAAAACTGTTTCTATCATTTAAGTGGGTGATTTTAATATTGGATTACACATTTTTCTATATTATATTTTTTAAAAAGAAAAATCTGCTTGATAGCCCATTTGCCAAGAGCTTTAATGGCCTCTCTACACACTACTTTAAAAATTAAGAAATTATAGTAACATTATTTCAAGCATGTAAAATGTACTGGTCATCCTTACTATTAGCTTGATGCAAACGAGGTGAGTTATAGTATTCCTGGGTTCTTTCATAGAACCACTAAACAACAGTAATTCCTTAAAGTTGTTAAAGGACATTAGAAGTTTATCAGGTAATAATCAAGAAGCAATGACAGAAATACGTGGTTCCAACAACCTTTTGTGGGTAAACCCATAGGACTTTTTGTTGGTTACGTGTAGGGCTGCTAACCATGGGTCAGCAGAACCTTTCTTGTTAGGTTCTATTATCTCAAGCTTAGATCATTATACCACTTAAATTTAACACTTAGATACAATCAGAACTACTGATTTTAAGTTTTACTGGCATATAATTCACATATCATACAATTCAATAGTTCAATCACATCAGGAAGAGTTGTATATTGTTTTAATTTTCATTTATTTTAAAATTCCACCACATAGAACATATTCTTGAAATAGCTAAAGTGCTAATTACGTATTTCAAGCAAATTCTAAATGTTCACACTAAGTCTGAAATCATCTTTTTCACCATCAGCAGTTACACATTACCCACATCTTTTTTTTTTTTTTTTTACTGAGTGATGTGATGTGAGTGAGTGCTATGAGTGAGGTGAGTGAGTGATGAGAGAGGAACGTGGGTGCTGAGTGAGAGGTGAATGAGTGAGTGGAGTGAGTGAGTGATTGATGTGAGTGATGTGATATGAGTGAGTGAGTGAGTGACTGAGTGTGTGAGTGGAGAGTGAGTGGTGAGTGATGTGATGTCAACCCACATCTTAAAGCTATGCTTCAAAAGCCATATTACAATTTGAATGAAATAAGACTAGAGTTTCCAAGTTTCCCATATGCCATCCGTAAAAGTTCTGAAATGGAACACATGGGTCACTACACTTAATCCCTTTAAATCGCTATTTCTTTTTATGTCTCTTAGGTTGTCCACTTCTCTTCTGTCCTTTCTTTTTCTTTGTAGTGAGACCTGCCTTTTCTCCAACAAATAAACCTTTAGAATGTCCTTGTACATGTTTTGAAGTAAAATGAAGTCCCTGCTGAGGTTTACTGATGTTCTTCAAGCGTGGAGTTGAATTTTGTTGCTTTAGTTTTTCTTTATTGGCAGAACGCATGACTCTAAGCTTTCTTCCCATTAGTTCAGAATTATTTAATTTCAGAGCAAGATGAACAGCATCAGTATTCTGAAATGGAAATAAGTTCATTTTACTAGAAACTCATCTGTAAAGAAATAATAAAATCATTACACTAATAAATATTAACTATTTTCAAATTTGAATATACTCTTTCCATATCTATACCTCAGTCCAATCCAGAATGTTTTTAGCAGCTGTGTATTAAGTCGTGCTGACAAACTATCCCAAGAAGCTCTCAAGATGCTTTGTAAAATGATCATATAAGTCACAATCCTATTAAGTTTTATTTTTCTCCCCATAAAGTGAGGTGTTTATTCATTTGGAATCTTTTCAACTAATAAGGCAAACTGTAGTAGTTGAATTGAAGGCAAGAAACTCTCCATTATAGTTCCTGAGAACTCGATGCCCTCTAGCCATGATGGCATAATGGTGACTCCTTAGACTGCTAACTATAAAGGCCAGCAGTTTGAAACCGTAGGCTGCTCCATGGGAGAGATTTGTAGTCTCAAACCCACAGGAACAGTCCTCCCCTCCCCTCTCCTCTAAGGGTCATGCACTATGAGTCTCCATGGACTCAATGGCAGTGATTTTGGTATTTGGAAAATTCCTTTTAAATCCAAAGTTCTAGCAAGCTTTTGTTCATAAACCATGATTGTTAATGAACCTTTGAAGTTTATCAGGTAATAATCAAGATGCAATGATAGAAATACATGGCTCCCAGGGGCTTGAGTAGAGAGCAAATGTTTTGAGAATGAGGGCAATGAATGTGCTAATGTGCTTTACATAATTGATATATGTGTGGATTGTGATGAGTTGTATGAGCCCCTAATAAAATGATTAAAAAAAGAAAAAGGAAAAAAAATACATGGTTCCAACATTTCTGTAAGTAACCCATAGAGTTTTTTGTGGGTGACCCATAGGGCTGGTAACCATGTGCCAGCAGTTTGAATATACCATTTGCTCTGAAGGTAACAGTTTAGGCTTTATGTTCTTGTAATGATTTACTGCCTCTGACTGTAATTAATATCATGAAATAAAATGGGTATGAATTGTTCAATAAAAACTTTCACCTAACTAACAAAAAAAAAGTTTAAAAAGAAAAACATTTTAAAATAAAAATATATAAATACCACCAAAAAGGGGGGGATAAAAAGATTTAAAAAGAGGCCAGCCCCAATCCTAACTATGTGGACAGCACCCCCTCCCCACAGAAGAGTTTATTTCAGAGGACAGCACTGAAGCTACAGCTCAGGGAGAGGGCCATGTTTGATCAGAGCACACAGGAGCAAATGAAGGGAGAGGAAGAGAGAGTGAACATATTCTGACCCACCAAGCCCTGAGGGCAATATTCCCACTCTGAGCAGCCAAAGCAGAGAGAGGACCATAGGGCCAGTCCCACTACGAGACACGATGTCCCTCACTGACCCATAGCACTACGGAGGACAACACTTGAGACACAGTGCAGAAATTGCACCTGATCTGACCTCACCACACTGAGGAGAAACACTAAGGGCATGCAACAGAACAGCAAGGGTTGTCCCATCCTCGACCCTTCTGTAAGGGGATGTCCAGCAACCAGGGTGCAGTGTGGCAACGAGGAAACATACAACTTTCCTCTAGTTCTTAAATGCTTCCTCCCCGCCACTATCATGAACCCAATTCTACCTTCCAAATCCCGCTAGACCAGAGGCTGTACACTGGCACAGATAGTAACTGGAAACACAGGGAATCCAGGACAGATAAAAACCCTTCAGGACTAGTAGTGTGAGTGGCGATAACCAGGAGGGTGGAGGGAAGGTGGGGGTAGAAAAGGGAAACTGATTAAAAGGATCGACATATATCCTCCTCTCTGGGGAACGGACAACAGAAAAGTGGGTGAAGGGAGACGTCGGACAGTGTAAGATTTGACAACAATAATTTATAAATGATCAAGGGTTCATGAGGGAGGAAGGTGCAGGGAGGGGAAAAATGAGCTGAAACCAAGGGCTCAAGCAGAAAGCAAATGTTTTGAGAACAATGATGGCAACAAATGTACAAATGTGCTTGACACAATGAAATGTACGTATGGATTGTGATAACAAGCCCCCAATAAAATGATTGAAAAATATATTTAAAAAGTTAAAAAATAAATACTAACGTTTTAAAATAAAAATATGGAAATGCCAACAAAAAGG